AATTTGTAGTACTCGTCGTGGGATTTGAAAAATGTTTAGCTGGCAACACTGGTGACCACTTTGATACCTTATCCAGTTTTTCATCAATCATCAGTAAGTTCATCACCTACTGTCTACAATCTAGCTAAAATTTCGTTTTCCGACAAACAACGGTATCTTACTTCACCAGACAGACGTTGGTAGAAATCGTTGTTGCTCACAAGTAATAAAACTATATAACATAACTTATATTTGCATTTTACAGTATCTATTTGAAGATAATATTAGCGTCCCACGTTTCCAGAACAAGCGTCCTGGTTGACATACACTTTTCCGTGTATATTTTCGACCACGAAGCGTCCGATATGGTGAGTTTATTAATATTTAGTATACGTACCCCCTCAAAATTTATTTTTATTCATAGCATCTATCTACATTTTTTAGATTTTTTAGATCTTCATTTTTTTTTCATAACATATAAAACTAATTACCATTTAACAACAATCGGTCAATCGACTCAAATCACCTTGGTCCAAAAGTGTTCCTATTAAACGACTTTTATTGTAGGTACATATATTTTTTGTTGAAACCTAGCTATATTACCTATCCCGGTTCAGCTATTATCTTTATTGTAAAAGAACCTATCTGCATTTTATAATTTTAATATATGTATATTGTATATTATATAAATCAAAATATTTGTCGTTAATATATATGAAAAAATACAAAAATCAAATACCTTCTATTGAAGCAATTATAATGTATAAAAAATTAAAATCAATAAAAAAAAACAAGATTATATTTAATATACCTATAAATCATAATTTCATAATATGTTAAGTATTAGCTATTATTTTTTCAAAACACTTGATTTATTGTATTTAAATATTTGCTTATAATAGAGGATTCAGAATAATTTTTTTTTCTAATCTACAAATGATGAATAAACTATTTAATTGACCTTTTATATGTTTCAGTCTATAGCTGAATTCTTGGATGGCTTACCATCCATTGACAAACGCAATTTTTCCCGTTTCATTCCAAAAAATGATTTTAACAAACCTGCTGCTGTTTACATAACAACAAATGACCAATCTCCCAGCCAAAGTATGTAGTAATTCTATAATTTCGTAGTAAATTATACTCTATTTTAAATGATAATATACTTTAGCAAGTACCTATGTATGGATCACTGAATTGAATACATAGAACACATGTATTAATCAAAATATTAGGCTGATAGGAAGTCTCCATATTATGCATTCTGAGTCTTTGGAAAACATTGTGAAATGTAATGTTATCAATTAAAATTGTTTCATCATAATATTATTATATATTAAATATTAAATCAAAATGCATATTACGCATACCGTATAAGCTCATTTTACAAATTTCATATATTTAGTTCAGTGGTATGGACTTAATAAACTTTCATCCATAGTCAATTTACTCATCAGTATGATGCAACAATTTAAGTCCATTATAGGAGAACTCATGTCACATGCATTTTTAAATGTAATATGGTAATTTGCATGTGTCTTCTTTTTTCAAATAGAATTTTGGTATTTTTTAAAATTTGATAATTAGATCTTTCTTATATAATTAAATGTATAAATTTAAACTGATATATTATAATGATAATACCATTGAGTATAGATACTATTATCTATATACTATCTGAACTCAATGATAATACATAACATCAAAAATAATGAATGTACTGTTACATTCTTTATTTTTAAATTCACATTTTTTTTAAATACTTATCCACTTAATATTTATCATATACAATATTCATTTTAAACTATTAGTTTGAACTTAATCTGTATAGATTTTAGAATGTAATAGAATTACTGTAATATAATATGTATCTCATTTAATATTATGTTTTATTTTTTTTAAGTTAAATTAAATTATTCTTAATTTCAGTTATTGTTAATGACAATTCACATTTGTCACTCCAGTATTTACATAAACGATGGGATAAAAAGGTAAATGTATAATTCAAAGTACCTGTTTAACTAAAACTTCAATCTAACTAATTTATAAGTATAATATCGTATTTTAACATTTATTGCTATTTGATATATTCATAAAATAAAAAAAAAATAAAACCTTCTGTTCTGCAATTAAATCCAATATAGGCACTAATAAAATATTTATATATTAGGGCATATTATATATTCGATGCTTTTTATATCAGTTGATTAATTTAATTTAAGACTAGTTATTTCAAAAACTATTAACATTTTTGAAAATATTTTTACATAATTATATGTTGATAAAAACAAAAATTTAAGAAAACAATTTTTTTTTCGATTTTGTAATTTTAATCTGTTTAAACCTTCAGTTGCAAGAATAATTGCGTCATATAAACTCCTTTATTGAAATTAATGCAGAAAGAGCATTTTGTAGAAAATTGAATGCAGGTATAATTTGAGTAATTCGATTTTGTAATTTTAATTGTTTTTCAATTTTTTAAATGATTCTGTATTCCAAAGTAGAATAATGTTTTTACTACTTCTATGTATAAAATCTAAATTTTAACGAGTAATGAGTTAATAGTATTTAAATTTAGATATTCCCCTGGTACTCCCAAAAATATCCAATACTTTTCTTATCTAAATACTAATGAACAACTTGTATGAAATTGTATTTTATAACACATTTAATAATATTCAGCTGTGGAAAAGAAAAATAAAAATTCATCATATCATTCATAAGAGTAAAAAATATCAAGTTACCTAAAAATGTTGTTTTGAAGTATGCAATCTTAAGCTATGTTATAGAAAAGTATTTAAAAATGTTAATGTTTTCTTAAATTTAAAGTGTCCTATGTTATATGAACCTTCCTATTTACTTAAATTAATTGTACTACACATAGTAAAGGTTATTACTTATATCGATTTCCAAGCATAATTTAATAAATTATCTTCTTCAGATTTTAACTTCTAAGTGATGTAGTGATGAGACTTTTCAAAATGTAATAATTCAAAAAAACAGCTATTTAGTATTTACTTAACTTTCATTTTATTTCAGATCATAATTTGTTACCAACAAAATCTCAGAAATATTACTATTTGTATTCCAAATAGTCATATGCCCATATAAATGTATTAGGTTTTACATTTTTATACACAAATTTTAATAATAATATGTACCTAATTAATAATATTTAAAATATTAGTAGGTATATGTATATTTTTTTAATATTATTAACTTTTAGCTAGTAACTATGAACCACTTAACAATATTATAAAACTTTTTTTAATCTTAATATTAATTTTTAAATAATTATAAATTATAATCAAATTAGTTACACTAATATTTATGTTGTATGATAATATATATAATTTATATTCTAGCATGGATGTAAAAAAAGAGCATTGGAAGCAACAAGTGAAGAATCTGGCTCTACATCTAAAAAATGTCCAAGAGTTTAACTCTACTATAGATTCAGATATTATATTTTAAAACTTCTTGCAATAAAATAATTCCAATTCAAGTTATTTTAATGTTTTTGACTAAAATTCCTAATTTAGCCTAAATATTTTTATGTAATACAAAATACAATATATTTCTGATTATTTTAACATGTGTATAAGCAGGGGTGTTCTCACAGAGTATAATACATTATGCCGTATACTCTCAAGGTTATTTTTCAATATTATGGGTATACTGTGTATGCTCTCAATCAGGATCGATATTATACCATCATTATACTGACGAAATTTATATTAAAAACTGACAAAATATATGCAATATAAATATATATATAGGATGTATAAAACATTTGGTTTAAAATTATTTCCCTATTATTGACACGCTCTTTACCGGCTTTACTCCTATTATAATAAACCATAAGAAAAATATTTTTATCGTATTAAATGTTTATATTTAATGATATAATATACTCTCTAAAAAATTGATGGGAACACCTCTGTGTATAAGTATATATTATACTATGTTACGAGTACCGGCGTGCATTCAAAAACTCACATAGCTCAATACATAAACATAAAAATAAATAAAATTTATATTTAGCTTAGGCCATGTTTATTATAAATTTATAAGCTCAATAGTTTAATGGTCCTTAATTTAAACTAAATTATTAAATATTTATTCAATAGGATAGATTGTCGCGTTTAAAATAAATAAATTTATGATTTGGGTAAAGAAAATAGTACAATATTCATATATATCAATATCATACATTATACTCATTGTAAAATCAATATGTGTTGTTAACCAAATATAAGACATAAGAGTAAATTAACTTATTATCAAGGTATGAATATTTTATTAATTAGAATTAATCTTTAAGGTTTTTATTCATATTAAAATTTTTTAAATTGTAAAATTGTAATAATTCAAGATAGAAACACAGAATTGATTTTGCTGAACGCGAATTTGGTAACATACAAAATGTCTCACTAAAAATAAAATATAGAACACATGTAATGATATACTAATGTACAATAATAGTCACTGGGCTTGCAAACGTTATAATAACGTTATGATTATAACGTTATATTTGATAAAAAACGATTGAAATTTGTAAACGTAATTATAACGGAAAACGATAAACATAAATAAATAAATAACACAAAACAAAACATAACGTTTAACAAAATATAATATATCATATATCATATCATATCATATTTCCAATTATTTAATAACGTTCTTACAATCTCCGCAGTGGCGTATATGGGAAGTTTAGAAGGCCATGCAATACAAAAAAATGGACACCCACCCACAGGCCACAGCTCAAAGGGTTGAGCCAGCTACCATCTTTATATAAACTCAAATATTGTTTTTGTTTACCTATTACTATTTGTTTTTTTTTTTTTATAAAAAACCAATTCTTTAAGTAAAGGGTTAGGTTAGGTACTAGGGTAGGTATTTAAATAAACACACAAAAACTAAATTTATACTATTAGACTTCTACAATTAAAATTAAATTAAAAATACAATAAATGATTAATTATACTCATAGGAGATGAAAAATTAMTAATTTAATATTTTAAACAATAGAGGACTAGTTTGACTAAATAAATTGATTACTTCTTCATAATCAATATTAATATCATATTCACAAGATATAGTCATTAAACTTTCTAGCCTATCATTTGTCATAGTAGAACGTAGTCTACTTTTAATTAATTTTAATTTAGAAAAACTTCTCTCTGTAGAAACGCTTCCCACTGGTAATGTCAATGATATTTTTAAAAATATGTATATATTAGGAAATATACCAACAAGATTATTTTTCATGAACATTCTAAAAAAAATAAATAAAAACATAATTTAAAGATACAATTAGATTGATTAATTTCAWGGTAGTTAATGAGACCAACCTTCTAAGACTCTAAGTATAATACTAATCTAAATATTGGTAGTAAACTTCCGAGGTTTTCACTAAACACATCATCTATATCTTCATTTTCTTGACAACTATCAYTGTTACTGTCATCACTGATATCATTATTTTGATGATCATGGAGACTGGTTGGGAGTTCATTTGTTTTTAAAAAAGCATCAATGYATTTAGTGAATGTCAAGTACTCTGATTTAAGTTCATTAATATTCAAATACTTTCCATACACACCACRAAATGCCATAAACGCATCACTAGGAAGTCTGTTTGAATCTAATTGAACTTCTTTTATTCGTTTTTTAGTCRTGAGTGCAATATCTTTATAAATACCAATTTGTTGTACATTATTTTCACTTTGATCAAAAAATCGTCGATTTAGTTCAGAAGTTACTCGATCAATAACTACAAAAAAGGTATTAACACGGAAATTTGTATTAGAGCATACCAATGGCTCATCCCGACTTGTTTCTCCACACATCACTTTTTTTCTTCTAACTCGTCCTTCTACTAAAGATGAAAATTCCAAACTAGTATTTTCAATAAATTCATCTGCATTACTTATTATCTTTTTCAAAGCTTCATCTGTACGTAGTTGGATTAATTCTTCATATTTACTTTGTAATAAAAGTGTTGCTGAAAGAATATCATAGTCTTTTTTTTGTAAAATTTTTGATACCGGTTCTAAAATGGTAAAAACTGTTTTAAAACAAAATGCTGTATAAACAAATCTCTTTGATAGTAAATAACTCAAAAATACATTAGCTTCTGATCTTGACTTATTATCACATGTAACATYACTATCACACATCATTTCTAATGTTTCAATAATAGCTAAAAAAGTTTTTAAAACATTATCCAAAGCTGCTTTATGTGACATCCATCTTGTAGTGGACACTCTCTTCAATCTACGTACTTGCTCACCAGGATACAACTTTTTCAAATTATTTTCATATAATGAACTACGTATTTTACTACAAGAAATGAAGTCATATAATCTCTCAAGGTTTCCAAATAAATCCATAGCATTTGTACAAATGCTTGTACAATCTGAGACAACAAGATTGAGTCGATGACTACAGCACCAAACAAATATTGCTTGTGGATTTTCTTGAATAATTAAGCTTTGAATGCCATTGTATTGACCTCTCATATTTGATGCACCATCGTAAGATTGTCCAATAAGATAGTTAGTCCAGTCAAGACAATGAGTTTCACAAACTTCTTTAAATGTATCAAAAAGATTTTTTCCAGTGGTTTTTGGTGTATCTCTTAAACTTAGAAGACGTTCATTTMTTTCTAAAGTGTCTTCATCTATATATCTAAATATAAAGGAAACTTGCTCTTTATGGGACAAGTCAAAGGTTGAGTCTATAGAAATACTAAAGAACTTTGATTTTTTAATGRCATTGACAATTTTCAATTGTATAAACTTTGATATTGAATTTATTAAATCATTTTGTCTATGACATGTGATAAATGAATACTGAGGACGTTTATTTAATCCCATTTCTTCCAATTGACCAATATAATTTGACAGTGTAGGAGAATATTTTGAAAGAAGAGAGCATAAGTCTCTAAAATTCCCTTTTAAAGTGCTTTGCCRATCTTCTTTATGGCCTCTAAATGCTATGTTATGACGTCCCAAGTATAAGGTCATATCAATTAGTGTTTTGATTATTTCACGGTTCATAAATACTTCTTCTTTTTTTTTAGATGTAAGTGAAGGTATAAGTGGTAAGGAAGATTGTCTAATTTTTTGTTTTATTGATGAAAAAACATGAGCTGATGACACCTCATGACCAGTAATACTGAGAGAACAAGTTGACCAATTTTCAAAACCATTTAGAATCCAAGCTTTATTTGKGGTTTCTTTGCCTTTTCCAGRAAATAACATACAACTTAAACAAAACATTCGCATATTTGATTTAGAATATGACAACCAATCTCTTTTAATGACTGACCCATCTGGATATGAATTGATATCAAAACATTCGCATATTTGATTTAGAATATGACAACCAATCTCTTTTAATGACTGACCCATCTGGTAATTTCTTTTTGTATAAGCTTGGAATAAATCTATGGCCTTTTCTTTTTGGATAACATTTTTCAGGGAGTTCTTCGGGTTGTGGTTGGCAAGGACCTAACTCCAAAATTTTTGATATCAATTCATATGAAAGATCTTTTATTAAACAAAACTGAGCAGGATCATTGTCCAAAAATAAGTACTTTTCTTTTTCTATAAAATAAAAATAAAATACAAATACAAATAAATTTTAAACACAATACTACATAATATATTTTAAAATTATGTATTTACCTTCAATACATTCCAATGTTATTGGTTTGTTATTACATATATCTTTGTTCAATAACTTTGGAGA